GCAGGGACACTTTATGAGGTGTAGCACCAGTGCCTGCTCCACAGTTCATAAACCAACCAGGTCCTGAAGGCTGGTCCCACATAGAAGCCCTAAATACCAGAGTGAGGCAGCCATCAGAGAATAAGCGCATGGCCTCAGGCGGGAGGAGAAAGAAGTGGGGACTCGCCCACTGGGATGTATGTGCTGGAATCATAGTTCAAAATACCATGTCACAGCCTCGTCCCCCTCCTACAGCTCTGCTTGCTTTTAAAATTCTCCTGCTTCCCTTTTGGAATCTCTACGGTGCCTCCTCAAAGTCCAGAGAAAAGGAAGGAAGGATACACCTGGATCCAGGCCTCCCACTCCTGCCTCCCATAGCTTTTTCCATTAATCTTCCACTTCCTTGCCTGCCTGAACAGCCCAAACCTGAGAAGCCTGGCCTTCCTGCCGTTTCCTGAGTCAGAGCATGTTCCGCCCCAAGTCTTGCCAGCTCTAATAAAATGGCAGGTGACAGTCTCAGGTGCTTTCAAAGGCAAGAGCCCCGAGGTCCCTGCATGCAGGAAATGAGCTAATTTTATGGTGTACCTAACCGAATCTTACTCTACGTTTCTAGGAATGCCTGAATATGGAAACCAGTATCTACACAGGTCAGCAACACAGTGGTTGAGAGAAGAAGCAATATCACCTTTACCATGTAGGATAACCATCCAAAACATCTGCTTTTCCTTCTGTGGTGTTTTTCCTCCAGATTGGTTCAATATTTACTAAGTACTCACCTTGTGGGAAGCCTTGAGCTGGGGACAAAGAGCATAAAAGAATGACAAGACTCACTAGTCTGTTCTCAAGTTGCTTCTAGAAAAATCCCAGGGATGAATGCAAATGATACCAAAGAAGGGAAGGGGCCAAAAGAGAACCAAAAACAAGAGCCATGGGGACCAAAAACAAGAGCCATGGGGGATTAGAGGAAGGACTGATGGAGCTGGCTGGTTTATCAGGAAGCCTTCAAGAGAACAGGGCATGTTAGTTAGGCTCCAAAGGACAGAGCAAGTCTGAGAGCTCATATCAATAGAGGGAGAGAGACATTGTGATAAAATGAAAAGAACCCGTCATTTCACATCAGAAATACCTGAGATCAAACACGGGTCATACCACTCACCAGCTGAGCAATTTTGGCCGAGGTATTTAACCTCCGTTGCCTTTTCTTCATCGCTAAAGTGAGAATGATAACGCCAGGCTCCCAAGGTGGCTGCAAGGATCAAATCAACTAACACTGGTAAAGAGCCGTGTCTGGTGCACAAAAGGGTTCAATGAATATTAATTCATTAATTCTAGACATTGCAGTAAGTAGTCTCAGCATTAACCCCACGCCGTCCTTCTGAGCTGTTCCCAGGCTGAGAAGATGGAGAGGGGGAGGGGGGAGCAGAGATGGCAGCCAGCGGTCTAAGCCAGATGTTGCTCCCAAGTGTAAAACAATAAACAACTTTCACTTGTTGTTATCCTCAGAATCCTTCTCCCTGGAGTTGATATTACAGAGTTTAAAAGCAAACTGAAGTCAACATTCAGAACAGAAAAGGCGTATGTGCACACACACGCACACACACCCTCCTTTTTGTAAGAAAGGTTGCCATGGAGATGAAACGGAGAAACAGCAAAGACACAGAGGAGCCACTGAAACGGCTATAATTAATTTAAAGCATTAAAAACAATTAAAATTGTATTAAAGCAAGTTCATTTGAACAAGGCATAAATCGGGTGAGCAGATCACGTCAAGCATGAACAAAAATAAAGCATCACTTTGGGGTGTTGGAACAGGCACCCTAGCTGTCTTCAAAGAAGGGAAACAAATTATTGCACAGTATTCTGAGACAATAAAATATGTAACCAAATTTATCTAATGTTTCTGAAAACAAGACAGTTCTCCAATAATTCTGTTTCCTCTAGTGCCCAGGTAGAAAAACAAAATGAGGACAGAAAATTGCTCCGTATCAAATAAACGCATCCATGTTTCTTTGTCCATCATTGTGGTGACAAATTACTCATCAATTAAGAAGAGCGGAATGACGGGGGCCAGCCATGTGGGATGCCTACTGTATACCAGTCACTGTCCAGGGCGCTTGGCACCCTTTCCCTCATTTAATACACCCACAAGCCCCATGAAGCAGGTGTAAGTGGCCCTACCCTACCAACCTGGGAGTCCGAAAGATCTGGAACGTACTCAAAGTGTCACAGCTTTTTGGTTGAGGCATAAGCACTTGAATTCAGATATCTCAGGACTCTTAAGTCCATGCACTTGCCGTTTTTCATGGAAGAAGCCAGAATGGGGCGTGAGATGGTGGGCAGCCGGGCACCATTTCTGAACACCTCCGCTATGGCAGACCCTGTGCTACAGATTTTACAAATGTCGTTCAATTTCAGCCTTACAAGGAGCCTCCATTTCACAGGAAACCACAGCACCCACCAAGCTCAGCTTGTCCAAAATGATGCAACCAGTAAGAAACAGAAGCAAGACTCGCCCCCAGATCTGCCTCACTCTGTAACACCCCAGGCCCTGCTCCCCTCTCCAGAACTCCTAAAGCACTTATTATGTCACATTCAGCCTTGGGTTGCATGGCTTCTGCTGGGGAAATGGGGTAGAGACTGGTAGCTGAATTTTTTCCATTCAGACAAGTGGGGATGGCAGGGAAAACATTTCAGAGGAGGCAAGTGTCAAAGTGGACCTTGATTTGGACAATGAGTAGGCTTGGCCAGGCAGAGAGCCCCTTCTTGCTCACAAGACCAGATGAGCCTGGAAATGTAGAGCTGGGAGTGGAGGGTGGAGGGTCCAGGACCAGGACAGACAGCAGGGGTGTTTTCATGAGGTGGCTTGCAGCCCCAGAGGCTGGATGGAGAAGAAAGATCCACTTGTCCAGGGAAGACAGGCCTGTGGCCATAAAGTGATGCTGAATGTCAAATCACATGATGAAGAGAGGACCCAAGTGGGAGAGTAAGTCACATTGATACAGCAGGAAAGTCAGATGCAGAACAGAATTAAGAACAAGAAAAAGAAGTAAAATAAAAAGAGCTGAAGCTTCATTGGGAGCACATGTGCTGGAGCCTCTTCCGTCTTTGGTGTCTGACATGCACAATGGCTTTAAGGAGCTGAGCAGAAGGGGCTAGCTGACCAATAGCCAGTGCTCTACAGCAAAGTCACACCCACTGTTATAATATTGAAATATACCATGATGGTTATACACTGCAGGCTGCCGGTGCCCCACAAGGGCTCCCATCACCTTGGCCACCCACTCTTCCTCTAAGCCCCCTCAGACCTCCCCACACTCCCACAACTGCAGGGATGACACCTGCCCCAAGCCCCTGACAGCAGTGTTCCGATAGGCCTGTTGGACACATCAGTGGGTAAATATTTTTGCATATCACCCCATGCACTGGGTATGGTAAGGACTTACCAAGGTGGCACATTGAATTTTGACCACAATCGTGAGATAATTAAATAGCATGATCTAGATAATACCAACATAGGCTTTAGGGGGTTAAGCAACAACCTAAGAGGAGAAACCACAGGAGAGAAGGGCAAGGAATTTGGCACAAGCAAAGGAGAAAACGGGGGAAATGAATGACTGGCATCTGTTCTCTCACGGCTCAAGGAACTGAGCTCGGATTTATTTCCTATGGGGAGAAATTCCATGGGTCACAGGGAAAATGCTAGACCATAAATGGCCTATGAAGACACCATCTAACACAGTGCTTAATTAGCCCACTCCCTAGGTAGATTAAATACAGATGGTCAGGTTCGAGAGAGAGATTTATTGATCCAATGAAGAATCCGATGTGTAATAGAAGCATTGAGGCACCTACCGCAGCCTCCTGCCTGCCTATGATGCTGTAAGAGAATGACGGGGGCCAGCAAAAGTAAGGGGGTAATCAAGTGGCCTCCAAATCTCCTGACAGGGGAAATTAAAGGCCTGGCTGGACAACTTGCATCTTCAGAAATATTTACTCATCCACGTAATTTATTAGTGAATACAAACATGGTGCAAAAGCAATGTGTATTTCAAATTTCAGGAGAATAATCCCTTATGCCTTGAAACTATGGCTAAAGGCTCAGACCACCCACCACAGAGCTGTCTGAGCTGGGAGAAGTCGAAACAAAAGAAGAAGCAAGTTAGAGCTCAACAGGTGGAAAACAGCGTCTGGCAGGAGGAAGAGAGGACATGGGTCCATTCATTCATTCATTCATTCGTCCAGCAAAAAATTAATAGGAGCCTGCTACATGCCAGTCACTGTTCTAGATACTGGGGATAGGAAAGTGAACAAGAGATGTCTATTCCCTACCCTCATGGAGTTTCCAATCTAGTGGGAGAGATGGAAAATATAAACAAATATATAATAGACTCGTAATGCCGGGCCGTAAATAGGTAGAGCCAGTGGAAAGATCTGGAGTCCACGGTGTTCTTGGTGTGTTTGAGAAACAGCAAGGCCAGTGTGACTAGAACAAGGTCTGTAAAAGAAGGAGTGGGGAATAGGTGTGTAAGAGCTCAGGGCCATGGAAAAGACTTGGGATTTCATTCTGGGTCTAGTGGGGTGGGGGTTGAAGTGGTTGGAGGTTTAGAGAGTCACATAATCTGATTTACAGTTTGTTTTTTTTTTGGGCTGATACTGAGTTTGGTTTTTATTGTTGCTGTTTTGCTGGGTGCAGAACTATTCTCACCCATCACCACTGGCCACCCTGGCCTTCTGTGAGGAACAGGCAGTAAAGATGGCTCCAGATGGCTCTTAGCTGCCACTTGGGCCTTGGAGCTTACAAAATGAGCACAGTGGGCTCTGCATTCTGACATGAAGTGCAAACTGATTCACAGACTTCACCAGAAGGGCGAGATGGTCACAGCTGAAGGCACTTTAATCAAAGAGCAACCCAGTGCCAGAGTCTGTCTTCCTCTGGTTACTTTGTGCAATCTAGACACAACTCTGGTGGAGAACCAGCCTTGTCAAAAGCTGGCTTAGTGCACTGAGAGGCATGAGGCCACTCACTGGTAGAACTTCTTACTGGGGCTGGTAGCGTGGTCAATGAGCAGCTGGCACGGGGTGAACTGATTTCCATAGGCAGCCTCATACTTCTTGAGCCGGTCCACAACCTTCTGAGCACCATAGAGATCCATGAAGCGGAAAGGCACCTCCAAGACAAGGGGGGAAACCGAGCCCAAAGACTGCTCCAATGTCTCCCTCTGCAGGCATGGCCAAGATCCCTTCCTGCAGGCACATGACAGCCTCATTCACAAATCTTGTCACCAGCCGGTACTGGATGTCTTCGTCAGAGGAGACTTCAGACTTAGGTGGCATCTTCAGACTTGCCAAAATACTATCCATGTCAGAATTCAGATTCTTACTCTTCACACCCTCCTGATAGATGTAAAAGCCCTTCCCAGACTTGCGACCCAGGAAGCCCTTGGACACCATCTGTGTCAGGAGCTTCAGGCTTCCACCTCCAAAGCGCTCCCCAAAGGCTTTACCTAGATCTTCTGCCACATGTTTTGCGACATCTACACCAACTTCATCCACCAGTGTGACAGCACCCACAGGAAAGTCAAAGCTTGTGGTCAGGGAATTCAGCTTCTTAGGGTCAACTCCTTCCTGGAGGATTCGGATGACTTCAGACATCATGGGTGCGAGACACCTGGTGGTGTAGAAGCCAGGTCCATCCTTAACCACAATGATGAGCTTCCCCTGCTTGAGGCCTACGGCTACAGCTGAGGCAGTTGTGTCCTTGGAAGTTTTCTGGGTTATGATAACTTGTCCACAGGAGAGAAGTAGTGCATGCCAATCTCCTTTTCAGGTCTTTTGCTGACAGCAGCAATTTCACTGATTGGGAGCATAGATGTGTTACTGGCAAAGACACAGTGATCTGGAATCACCACTTCAATTTCCTTCAGCACTCTGTGCTTAAGACTAAGGTCTTCGAAGACAGCTTCAATCACCATGTCGGCTTTTTCAAAACCTTGGTAATCCAGCTGCCCAGTCAAGTTGCTGAAGATGGCGTTCCTTTCAAATGATGTTAGAGCTTTCTTCTTCACTTTATCATTCAATCCTTTGAACACTTGCTGCCATCCTCGGCCAAGCCCAGGTAGTGTAGCGTCTTTAAGAATAGTCTTTAGCCCTTTATCTACAGAGACTTGGGCGATGCCTGCTCCCATCAGCCCTGCACCAAGAATAGCTAGATTCTTAACTTCCTTCTGTGAACTCCAAATTTATTCTTCTTGCACAGGACCTGACCATGGTAAAGTCCCATCAAGGCCTTTGATTCTTTGGTCATTGCAAGCTCTCCAAATTTCTGAGATTCAGAGAGATAACCAGCATCAGTCCCTTGTTCGATTCCAGTTTTTAACCACATCGATTATTTTCAGAGGTGCAGGATAAAGGCCTTTGGTCTGCTTTTGCACTTTTTCTTCCACCTTTTTGTAAATCTGTTGCCTGACAAATGGAATAGTCAGGGCATACGGCATACGCTGTCAACTTTTCCATCAATCCCTTGTCTCTCTTTGGGTAGATTGTCTTATCAGCTAGTCCTTTGGCAAAAGAAACTGCAACTTCTTCTAGATATTCAATTGTTCATTCTTCTGCAGGTTTTAATCTTTGTCCCAGGGGTTCCACCAGTTGGTCAACCAGTACCATTTTCTTCACTCTGTCTGCACGAATGTTTCTGCCAGTAAGTATCATGTCAAAAGCAGCAGGAACACCCACCATTTTGGGCAGCCTTTGTGTGCCTCCTGCTCCTGGTAAGAGCCCCAGCAAGATTTCAGGGGTGCCTAATACTGTTTTTCTATCTTTTGTTGCTATTCTGTATTGGCATGAAATGGCAAGCTCAAGTCCTCCTCCCAAGCAGGATCCACCGATGGCAGCCACAACAGGCTTTGTGGATTTCTCAGGTTTCTCAAATGTTCTCCGTGCTGCCTGTGATATATGTACTACTTCTTGAGGAGTCTTGCAAGTGGCTAGCATGTTGATATCAGCACCTGCAACAAAGCAGCCTGGCTTGGATGAGATAAGGACAGCACTTCAGATTTGATCACTAGCCCAGATTTCATTTATTACTTCTATGAACTCCAAATGTAGCTCTTTAGTCAGTGTATTTACCTTTGAATCAGGTGAGTTAATTTGAACTGCCACATCTCCTTTGACTCCATAGTTAACATGACTTCTGGCCAGTAAAGCAGAAGACTCTGTAAAATTGCGGCAAATATATCCTCGGGAGTGGAGGATCCTGAGGGCAGGGAAGCGGCTGAGGCTGCTAATTGTCCAAGAGAGGCCACCATGTTGAGCTCAAGAGGATGAAAGTGGACAGCGCTTCTATCGGGGTGATCGAGCGGAGGACTTTTCTTCCCATCCTGATTTACATTTTTAAATGTCTCTGGTAGCTGAGTGGAAAATGGATCCTAGGCTAGAAACAGACATCCGATAGGAGGCCATTTTATCATTATCTATGTTATCTATTGAGGGTTGACTATGTCATGTATTAACTCGTATAATCCTTACAACAAAAGATTATCTCCACATCACCATTTAGGAGTGGAGGCATAGAACGGTTAAGTAAGGGAAGAGGCATGTTTTGAATCCAGGTTGCCGGCCTCTGACTTGCTATGCCATGCTGCCTTTCTGTAGTAGTCTAGGCAGGAGACCATGGTGGCTTAGACCATGATGGCAGCCAACAGAGGTGGTGAGAAGTGATCGGATCCCAGTTATACTTAAAAATCAGTGCTAACAAGACGAGCATCTAAGTTAGATAGGAGTTATGAGGGAAGACAGGTAGAGACCATTACTTCAAACATGCTGATTTCAAAGTCCTAGTAAGAGCCAATCACAACCTCTGACTCAAAGGTTTATAACCTGGAAATTCAACAGAAGTTTTCACAAACACAGATTCTAAAAACTTATTCCAATCTGCTGAAGGAGGCATTTCAGAGTGGATCCCAGGAACAGGCATTTTAAAACCACTTCCCAGGTGATTTGGGGGACACCTAGTCCCTGTTCCAGCATGGGGAGGCTCTGCAGTTGACCACATGTCAGAACTCCTAGTATATGAATACTGTCACCTGAGAGATGGCTGTGCCACCTCACTTACAGATGAAGAGGCCAAGGCCCTGAGATGGGAGGGATTTGACTCCATTAATAAGGGAACTAAAATCTTGGTCTCTGACTCCTGGACCAGAATTGTGTCCACTACCCCATGCTGGTTCCACCGACTGCACCACATTGCTTACTGAACCCCTCACTCAAGGTCAGGCAGAGGACCTTGAAAGACCTCTGAAGTCATGGGAAAAGTACCACACTTGGGGTCAGAAGATGGATCCAGGCCCAGGCTTAGCTACGCAGCAGCTGAGAGCTCCTGGAAAAGTCCCTATCCCTCTCTGATCTTCAATGTCCTCATTTTACAAATGAGGACATTTTACAAATGAGGACATTAGGTTCTCTTACTGTTGCTATTTGATTAGATGAAATAATGCGTGTAAGATACATGGCAAGACCTTAATGCTAGTCACTGTTTGGATTTTTATGGACATTAATTCAGATTTCCTGGTTCATAATACAACATCTGTGCTCAGGCAGGATTTTGAAGTTTTTGTCTCTAAGATCAAGATCTACCAGAAGCAACTCTGAATGTTACAAACCAATGCCATTAGGACCTTAAAAGCCAAGTAGCAGGGAAGACGGATCAAGGAGCAGGCAAGAAACAGGAGAGAGGAGAAAGGAATGACAGGCACAAAAACCATCAGCCTGGCCACAAGTATCCGGAGGGTCCATAACCGGGAAGAGGACACTGAATAGCTTCCGTGTTCCCAGATGAAACTTAGCCACAATAACCCATTGTATGTGTATAACAACTTTGTACCTGTTTTCCATAGATTGCTTCATGTGAGCCCCCAAAATAACCTTATCAGTTAGCTGTTACAACCACCCTCCATTTTAGAAATTAAAAAACGGAGGCTCAGTTCAATAATTTTCCCAGATTCACTAATAAGCAACACATCCGAGTTTGGACTCACAATCTAACTCCCATCTAGACCAGTGTTATCCAACAGGAATATGATGTAAGGCACAAATGTGATTTTCAATTTTCTAACAGTCACTTTTTTTTTAAAGTAAGGAGAAACAAGTATAATTTATTTAATTCATTATATACAAAATAATATCATCTCAGCATGTGATCAATATAAAAATTTTAGATGGAATTTTTTCAGCCTCTTTTCATAGGAATTCTTTGCCTCCAATATGTATTTTACAATTATACCACATCTCAATTTATGAGACACATTTAAGTGCTCAGTAGCCACAGTGGCTTCTAGGTTAGCTTGAGAGAGAGATTTTTCTGTAAAGGATCAGAAAAACATCTTGAGTTTGCAGACTACATGCATACACTATTGCATACTATTTTTTTTTTAACTTTTTTTTTTGAGATGGAGTCTCAATCCATTACTCAGGCTGGAGTGCAGTGGCACACTCACAGTCACCCCAGCATCGACCTACAGGGCTCTGGTGATCCTTCCACTTCAGCCTTCAAAGTAGCTAGAACTACAGGCATGTACCACCACGCCTGGCTAATTTTTTTTTTTTTTTGAGTTGGAGTCTCACTCTATCCCCCAGACTGGAGTGCAGTGGCCGCTCCCGGCCACCGCAGCCTCGACCTGCTGGGCTCCGGCGATCCTTCCGCCTCAGCCTTCAAAGTAGCTAGAACTACAGGCGCATGCTACCACGCCCAGCTAATTTTTTAATTTATTGTAGAGATGAGGTCTTGCCAAGTTGCCCAGGCGGGTCTCGAACTCGCGGGTTCAGGCAATTCACTCACCTCAGTCTCCCAAAGTATGGGATTACAGGCTGAGCCACCGAGCCCAGCCTAATTTTTTTATTTATTGTAGAGACAAGGTCTTGCCATGTTGCCTAGGCTGGTCTCGAACCCCTAAGCTCAGGCAATCCTCTCTCCTCCACTCCCCAAATGCTAGGATTATAGGCATCAACCACTACACCAGCCATGAGAATAATGTAGATGGGACCAGATGAATGTCACATGTAAGGAGAGGAATCTAAAGATAAGAGAATCCATATCTTTTTTTTTTCTTTTTTCAAGTTGGAGTCTCACTCTGTCATCCAGGCTGGAGTGCAGTGGCACACTCACAGCCACCCCAGCGCTGACCTACTGGATTCTGGCGATCCTTCCGCCTCAGCCTTCCAAGTAGCTGGAACTACAGGCATGTGCTACCATGCCCAGCTAATTTTTGATTTATTGTAGAGACAAGGTCTCACCAAGTTGTCCAGACTGGTCTACAACCTGCAGGCTCAGGCAATCCACTCACCTCGGCCTCCCAGAGTGCTGGTTTACAACTTTTAAAAACTAGACAAGTCTTTTAAAAAAGCTGACAGGTTGTAGAAAAATAGGCTATGGACTAGATTTGGCCTGTGTATCATCATTTGTCAACTTCTGCTCTAGACTGTAAGTTCACGGAAGGCAGGAACCACATCCAATATGTGCACTGCTGCATCTTCACTGCCTGAAATATAGCAGACACTTGCTATGTAATAGTGTAATTGAACTTAACTGAAATAGATCAGGAAGGATTTATTGTTCCTGCTCGACAGTTGACCAAAATGAAATCAGAGAGTCAAAGTGACTTATCTGAGGTACATAGCCTAAGTATAAACCCCGAGCGGTATGGCTTCTAGCCACTGCTACTCTCTGTCACGTGTTTTAATAC